ACAGATATGATGTAACACATGCTGCTTACATGTGATTTCTAAGGAGGCAGAAAGTAGCTCATAGCAATCTCACTAGGCCCTGTCTTTCTCATGCTTCACACGATGCCCACAAGCAGTTGCAGGAGAACTGGGTGTCTGGAGGAGCCAGGTCTGTCTGGAAGAGTTCATAGCCAGTAGGGCACAGTTAGGACTTGGTGTGATACTATCTTGGATAAGGGGTGCACAAGGAGAGTCCCTGGCAGTGGGAGAATGCTGACATTGCAGTGCACTTAGGTGATGGCATGTGGACAAAGATTGTGGGGAGGGACACCGGGAGCCAGAGCAGAGGGGGCTTTGGCAACTGACTGCAGTGCAGGGGTGAGCCATCTGGAAGGACTCCAAGGATGGCTGAAAGCCATGCCCATGCATGGTCCATTAAACCTNTGTATCCCTCATCTCTCTGTGTCTCCCTCAATGCCTTGTGAAAGGTGTTTCAACGATGAATGACAGTATTGTTATGCTTCTGATGGCATCCTAATTACTTATTCCTTTAGAAGTAATTTCTTTATTCCTTAAAGAAATTCAGCAGTTTCACTGATTTTCAATGTATGCCCAACCTATCTCTGACATGAAGAATATTTGTATTCATAGTTCACGATTATATCATTTCTCCATTCTTTTAATGAATTCAAATGTTTTATGACAGTTACGTGCTTCAACAGGTAGTCTATGTGATAAAATATCTCTAGTAATGTTAACTTTTCCTGCTAAACCCAACATCTAATATGAAACTTCTAGTCTTTTGTCTATTGTACTTGAACCTTACACCAGAGTTAAATGACACACGTAAGTGAACTCCATCCCCCACCCCCCAACACACAGCTCAACATCACCTTCTGAGCTAAGTAGAAAAAATAGGCAATATGTGTACACCTCCTTTATTCACTCACTTGAGGCAATACAGATATTTAGGCATTCAAATATCATTGAATTCATTTGGATCTTTGAATACTTGGGCTTCAAATTCCATCTGGCTCTGTAAAATAAAAGTGTTCAACTTAGTTTAGGCTTCCAGAAAAGGTGGAACACCATAGAACATTCTCATGTCTCCGTAGTGTGTGTAGAGACAGGATACCTGTGGGAGGGTGGGCATTGAGAGCTTCTGGTGTCCATGCATCTCCCACTCACAAAGTGTGTCAGTGCTGACGACACTCCAGGCACAGTGCTTGGTTCTGGGGCCTCGAAGATGAGCAAGACCACATGACCCAGCGCTCCAGGAGCCACTAGCCTGGTGAGTGTAACTCAGGGCTGGGAGGGCCGTAGGAGGGGTGAGCACATGGTGGACTCTGAGAGCGCAGGAGGAGGACCCAGGACCCAGCCAGGCCATGGAGGGGAGTGAAGATGCTTCCTGGAGCAGAAGAAGTGGGCAGGAGCCAGGGGAGGGAGGCACGTGGCCAGTAAGACAAGAACGCACAGGCACTGATGGGATTCACTAACATGCAGGGCAGGGTGACCTCGGCAACAGCAGATTCAGGGGTGGACAAGAAGAAGCAGATGGTCGTGTAGATCTTAAATCTGGACAATTCTTTCAAGAAACCTGGCTGTGAAGTCATTGGACAGGAAATACAAGTATCTGTGCAATTAAGGTTAGGTTCTCTCATTTTCTTTCCTTCTTTCTTTTTTCTTTCTTCTCTTTCTGTTTCTTTTTTGTTTTTCAGATGGGACAGTTTTGAATCTTTTAAAATTCTTATGGGAAGGTTTTACTAGAGAAGGAAGAGGTTGAAGATGTGGGGTAAAGATAGAGGCAAATGAGGAGCAGGTCC